ACCTACCCTAGCAACAGGACAACCAAATGAGGAATCTGCTCTAATCAACATAGTCCAGCATGATTAAATAAACATTTAACTATATGTCCTTTTCAGTTGAAGATAGACACATACAGCCCTTATTTTATATATAATATGAGATTAGATACTGTATGGACACTGCATTAAAGACAGATTGTAATATGTCCCAATTAATGTTGTAAGGCAGACAACTGGTGTGGAGTCCAAGCAGTGTTATTTGAATAGAGAAATGAAACTGTCAAATAGCTGTTGTTTTTAGTGTTGTTCTCTCTCTTTAACAGTTATAAAGTGGTTTTAACATATTCCAAGTGATATTATTGCTGTCATTGCTATTGTGAATCCATCACTTTTAACTAAACATTTTCAGACTTCAAATAGACTTTGCACTTAAGTTTTGTGTTCAGTGTAATATCTGAACTGTCCATGTGCAGTCTTAAAGGGCCCATAGTACAATATTTTCTGGAAGGAAATGCTTCACTATGTTTTTAAACTCCATACCTTCACTACAATCACCCCTGGAATTGCCATTCTTTACTGAACAAAAAATTAGTGGTAGCTGTTAAATTGAAAACTACTGCTTCATGACATCACAAGCTGGAACTAAACAGTCTGAGCTTTGGAAAGACAGACTAATAAATCAGGATTACTCAGACATGTGTGGATAAAACAAAACACAACTTCAGGTATGTTTTTTTTAGGAGATAACAATATTATAACATGGTTTTAAAGCTCGAAACTCAATTTTGTAGAGTATATATATATATATATATATATATATATATATATATATATATATTTGGATTTTCTGCCTTTTATTCCAGCAACAGCAACAAATACCAAATCAATATATGTTTCCAGTGTTGATATTTGCTATGTGGGTCATGTGGGACACTATTTCAAACTGCTATTTCACAATTATTTTACTTCTATCTAACTATATTCTGAATGAGCAGTGTGTATTTGTTTACTTGATTGTGGTAATTATTACAGGTATCAGGGAGAGTTGTTTTGCTAGTTTATACGGCTGATTGATGTTAATTTGGGATTAGTTGTCAATCTCTGTGTGTGAGAGTAGGATAAAAGGGATTACTGTCCAGCACCAGCTAAAGCAACAGTTGAGTTATATTCAGACTCAGTACAGCAATCCCAATAATGTCAACTCAGATAAAATGTCATCAGTGCATTCTTATATGACACACTTGTATTGATTATTCCTATAGTAACTGTCCCATTTCCAGAAATATCTGCTTGTAGTTTGTAACTGCCACAAAACTGCCACAAAAGTCCCACTGCAATTCCCATCACATGCTTTGTGAATCTTGGCATTCTACAGACAATGAATGTATTGTACAAAGTGCACGCTCTAGGAACAGAACAATGGTAAATTTTAGTGTTACAAAAACAACAGAGTGCTTTCACTGTTGTCACAATTTTCAGACACATGTGACAGGAAAACATGTGTCTTTCATTCACACTGGGGTCATATATAGGTTAACTTGATTTAAAGCAGGCCTGTTATGCATATAGTTGTTTCCTCTCACCATTTACTAACCCAAACTTGTATTTGGAGTGATTTGTGCATGATTGAGCAATCTTTTAAACGCTTATGTCTCCATTTTGCACATCAACTCCTGTTTTCACTGTCATCAGTATAAGGCCACTGCTCTGTACTTACTTTGTCCTCCTCCTACAGTAACAATTTTCCTTAATTACGCACTCTTTTACAATTTTATAATTATCAGATTCCACAAACCAGGGGTGTCCCAGTTTTTAATATTGAAAATCTGGTCACCCTAGCCTTGCCTTAATTTAAGCTTCTTATGTTTCTATTGTCCACAGGTTTCCACCATCATTCAGCCAACATCCAACTGAGGAGAACCATGAACGCACAACTCCAAAACGCACAACTTTTGGACCACACTTCTACTTCCAGTGTCCCAAACCAGGACCCCACCCAGGCTCCTCTATCCCCCCATCTAGAGCACCAACTGGGCCAAAAGAACTCTGAGTCTCTCCCTGGTCCCAACAGAAAGAGCATGGAAGTTCTGGAGAGCATAGACACTGTAAAAATCGGAGCAAGTATCAACAAGGTGCCTGGGGGGGTCTCTGGCTCGTACCGTCCCACTCGCAGAGGGTCCCCGAGGCCTAGCAGCACTGAGCACTTTGACATTAATGAACACCTGCCTTGGATGATTGTTCTGCTGCTGTTGTTGGTGCTGGTGGTGATTGTAGGGTGCAGTGTAAAGAGGAGCTCACGAGTGCTAAAGAAGGGCCCCATGCAAGACCCCAGCAGCATCATGGAGAAAGCCATCCACAAGAAAACCCACGGTCCCCCCACTAAGACCAGGGAGAAGTGGATCTACTACTCTAATGGACAAGGTATTATTACTTTTTTTTGTTTGTTTCAAGTTCTTCTCTCAAACTGAAAATGCTCTGTTCCACCTTGTGATGTCATGTGGTAATATAGGATGTACTTCATATATCTTCACTAGAATCGTTTGGATAATTGCCTATTTCTACTGAACTAAAAGTGAAAGGTAACTGTTAACATGGAAATTACCACGCCATGACATCACAAGGTGGAACAGAGCATTTTGAGCACTGGGGATGTAGATAGACAATAATAAAGATTACTCATGAGTGAATGAAACAAAGCACAGCTTCAGGTATGTTTTTGAGAAGGTAACAACACTCTAACATGGATTAAAGCTCCCAAGTAAAATTTGCGTAATAAAGGATCTTTAAGTCGAGACAATGCATGTTCATGAACATACCTGCTTGTCAAAGCCTCATCCCGTCAGATCTCAGAAGCTAAGCAAGGCTGGGCCTGGTTAGTACTTGGATGGGAGACCACTGGAACAATCAAGTGCCACAGTGGTGCGCAAGTCACAAAAATTGTCATTGTGTCCTTAGGCAAGGCACTTCACCCACATTGCCTAGTAAGAAAGTGGTGTGTGCCTGAGTGATGGTGATCGTCAGAGGGGCTGATGGTGCCGATTGGCATGGCAGCTGCACTTCAGTCAGTCTGCCCCAAAGACAGGCATGTCTGTGAAAAAGCACTACATAAATAAAAAAAACAACTTACTTACATACTTACATGTGACATGTACATTTACATACTGGAGGCAAGGTAAGGTCCTAAAAGACAACAGTATGCTCTCGCTTGTACCACCAACCTTCGGAAGTATGAACAAGCACTCTAACCACTGAGGAGTTTGCTTTTTTTTGGAAATATTTCTGTTTATTTGTGATCTCTCTTGCAGCCCTCTTACAGCCGTTGAAAGGCTTATCTAGTCATAGTAGTAAATCCAGTTGATTCATTTGCACATGGATTGCATTATAAATTAGAAATAATTTTTTTATTCTTGTGTGCTTAATGCCAAAGTGAAAAGGTGTACATATAAACAAACTGCATCCACAAAATTTAAATTCAAAAACTTGTACAGAACATTTTTATTGAATAACCCTGACTGTGCCAGATATTCTCTGCGTGACCCACACCATGACCTTTTGGTGACCTGCTTTAGTGCAGCTGAACCATATGTTAATGTGACCAGTGAGTCTGTCCCAGTCCATAATGTGTGACTCCACAGTTGCATAACCAGGACCCCTCCCCACACCTCCTATGTGATCAGGGTGTGATGTTAACTCACTGGAAACTTGTAATCCTTTTCAACTCTTGGTGGTTATTACAGTAGAGCCTTAAAGATGCATGAGTGTCCGTCAAATGCATTTCTCCATGGAGATGTTTTTGATTTGTCTGGAATGTTTCACAGTATGGTTTTAAACTTTTCTATCATCATTGTCACCAAACCAGACCAAGTTACTGGTCAGATCAGTGGAGAGGCAACCCCGCTCATAGTGAGAATGTCAGAATGTTTATCTAGGTATTTTTTTGGCTGTAAAACCACCTGTACTTGAATAAATGTAAGGTAGATCTGGTTAATGTCATATTGTGGAACATTCCAGGCAGATCAATGATATATCTATAGAAACAAGCAGGTGACAGACAATCAACCAAAAGGTTATATGCTTCTTTAAGTACCCACGAGACTGTGTAGTCCTTTATTTGCCCAGGAGTGATTCAATATAGAGATGAACGCAGATGAAACATTTCAATTGATAGAAAGGCGGCAACTAATAAGAAAAGTTGGCTGATCAGCTTTTTTTTCCTGATTAGTAGATTTAGTGACTAGTTAAAGGTGCATTGTGTAAGTTCTCTAATGGAGAGTTCGTCAAATGCTTTTCTCCATGAAGATATCATTGCTTTGTCTGGAATGTTTCACAGTATGGTATTAAAGCTTTCTATCTTCATGGAAACCAAACCAGAACAAGTTACAGGTCAGATCTGTGGAGAGACAACCCCAGTCACAATCAGAATCCCTGTTTTTCTTGGTGTTTTTGAGCTATAAAACCACTTGCAACTGAATACATGTAAGGTAGAGCTGTTTAATATTATACTGTGGAACATTCCAAGCAGAGCAGTGACATATAAACAGGTGACGGACCCCCAACCCCAACAAAAAGTTACATAGTGCACCTTAACAGATTTTTTTTTTTTTTTTTTATTGTACATTGAGATTCTTAAAAGCTTAACTAAATAAAATAAAGGTTCAAATATGGTGACTTATTCATACATACATACAAAAATAATAATGATAATAATAATGTCATGACTTGAAAGTATTAAGTTACAATAAAATATACTTTGTTGAGTTGAGTTCACCTTGTTGACCTAAATCATTTATGGATGGGACTGGCTTATACCTGCTCGCTCTACATTACTCATCAGACCCACCACCTCAGAGTCTTATATTTCTGTCTGTGGGACTCTCTCAGCCCTTCTGTGAACGCTGAGTCTACCGTAAACTGGAATGATCTGGTTTGAGGCGGCCGTCGTGGGGCTGAGTTGGCAGGACACTGTAGCGGGTCACAGGGGTCTCTTACACAGTGACAAAGAGATATAGAGACAATAGGAAATGAATGGAACTGCTTGGTGTGAGTGCTTACAGACTGCAGGGTTGGCTGCTGTCTCCGGGGGCTCCCCTGTGTTGCCTGGCAGCGTGAGTCCACTCTACACACGGGAGAGGAGAGAGGGGAGATTATGGGCTTAATGCACAGAGTCAAGCTCACAGTGTCAATTTATGTAGGATCATATAGCATATAACAAAGACCAGTGCCATTATTAAAGGTGTATTGTGCTACTTCTCTGGTGGAGGGTCCTTCAAATGCTTGTCTCCGTTGGGATGTTATTGCTATGTCTGGAATATTTCACAGTATAGCTTTAAACCTTTCCATCTTCATGGAGACCAGACCAGGTTATAGGTCAAATCTGTGGAGAGGCGACCCCGCTCACAGTCAGAATGCCTGTTGTTCTCAGTATGTTTGAGCTATAAAGCCACCTCTAATTGAATAAATGTAAATTGAAGCTGTTTAATGCCATACTAAGGAACATTCCAGCCAAAGCAATGACATATCCATGGAAACAAGCATTTGACAGACACATAACCAAAAAGTTACACAATGCATCTTTAAATCAAATGTTAAAAAAGAATAAATAATTTAACATTTTTCATTAATAATACACTTTCAGTCAGCATATTTACACTATCTGATTAAAAAATGCATTTAAAAAGTCTACTAAATGTACAATACAAATAATCGCTGACTTGTCAATTACTAAAATAACTGTTCCAAAAGTCTCCAAAGTTTCACAGTGGGTCCTCGGGGGATCCTAAAATGAATTAAGCCTAAGTACGACAGCTTGAACGATAATGAATGAAAGTCATGGTAGATTGGTTCTATTAAATATGTTACATTAAATACTAGGCCTGGGCAATTAATCAGTTTTTAATCGAAATCCAGGCATGTCTAATCGTCAGTGATATGCTTGGGGCTTTCTAATCAAGAGGTTCACAGCCAGTCCCACAGCCAGTAAAGCCAGAGAGTTTGGACTCCGGAGGAATACTTCGGACTCATTTTGTTTGTGTTTTGTTTGTATCTTCACAAAATCAATAGTGAAACCCATAAAAAAAAATTGATAATAGAATCAAATAAAAAATCTAGATACATTTTGAAAATCATGAATTAGACCATCTGGATACTGTTCTATACCATTTTCATGTAAAAAAAAAAAATATATATATATATATATAATAATAATGAGCAATTTGCTCTCACTTTTTGGGATTATGCATGTTTTTCCATAACAATTCCTAATCTGGAAAACTGGTCTAGAGCAGAGGTAGGACATTAAAAAAAAAAAAAAAAAAGCATTAAAATAGTTGCATAATTGTATTCCTTCCATAAAAATAACTACTGCCTTTATCTTGTTTTGGATAGAACAATTAGATTGTAAAAAGATGTTTTTATCCCAACCTTTGTATTGCTCTTCCCCTCTTCTGTTTTTGTGTGGACGTTCCCATTTCCATGTGGCTGCATTTATGTGAAAATGTATAGTATGTACAGCATGCACAACCAACCAAGAGGACCATTTTACACTGCTATTTATCCGCTGGTACATAAAACTAAACAGCTTCTTAATCCATCCAAGGTGCGTGGCTGGCTCGACTTGAAGGCCGTAATACTCCTTTACTAGAGCAGTTAAAAATATGGGCAGTAACATGGGCAGTAAAGGGGGGAAAGAGGGGATCACACACATGCTGTACCTGGCATACAAGCAGGAAGTAGTGAAAAGCCGGGGATGAATGGGGCTTTCCATGTTCGCGGAGTAACTGTTTACTGCACACAATGTGAAGAATTTATGTGTTTATCTGGAAGAAGCAATTAGAGGGAATCACTAAAATGTGCTGGAGAGTTACTGGGCGTCTGCTAATGGTGTCTATTGTAATAAATGCGTTATTTATCCATTTCAATCTCTGTCTCAGTCAAACAAAGAGCCTGCAATTTTTATGACCTAGTTTTAAGTTTCAGGCTGGGGCATATGGACTCATTAGGGAAATGTTTCCTCTGAATTTGACCCATTCTTTACGCTAGGGAAACCGGGTGTGCTTTCTCCAATTATGACTGAGTCTTAAGAGGTTGAGTCTGAGGATAAGAGTACCTAGCTGGATGACTAGCAAATTGTGATGCGAGTTATTTTGCAGTTATTATGCATTGATGGTATTGTGTTGGTCTGGTCATCTATAGGGTTATACAGTTATATCCGCCATGACAACTGTTTTGGGGTATAGGTTGGAGTTCAGGTGATGGTTTACATGGGTTTTCAGTCATGTGGTGGTCCCAAGTCCTCCTAAAAAATGACTTTAATAAACCTACGTGCATCAGCAGGTGTAGGTACAGTTACATTTGGATCTTCTGCGTCTGACAAAATATTTCTTTATTATGAGTCTATATTCCAATTGGAAAAGGATTTATAAATTGCAGCTTGTCAGGAGCAGGGCCACACCTGGGTACTCATCTCCAGATCTTGAGCTAGGCTTTGTCTAGACTTCTGGATGGAGGATTTGACCTGCTGTGCATGTTTTGGCATGATGGGAAAAAGGCTTGAGACCCAGAAGTTAAACTCAGAACCTTCTTGCCAACTTTGACTAGGGTGGGGGACCTGTGATTCGGAGGAGGGATCATGATTGGAATCTCCGAAATCCCATAAACACATCTCTAGTACTCACATCAGGCCAGGATGTACTCATTTAGGTTCTGTAGTTTTTGTACTAAGTTAGTATGTGCGTTATGCAGCAGTTGTGGGCACAGTTGTTGTCGATTAATTGGAAGCCACGAGAATCTGTTTAATGAGCGTTGTTAGTTGGAATGAGGTCTAGTAAACAGAGCTGTATAAAGATGTGGTCAGACGCAGTATTAGATGACCCTCTTTATAGGCTTCAATTGACCCGGCAGGGGCCAAGTTTGCAATGAGCTCTTTTGACTAAAACAAGGCAACTATATGTGTTTAATAGAATTTGGTAGAATGAGATTGTGAACTAGAATTTGTTAAATGGACAATAAAATCTGAACTTATCGGTGCTGTGGAGTCGTAACTTAAGACGCGCATATCTTAATAACTGGTTCTCAGACTTCAGATGAGGGAGGTTGTGGTTAGGATTCTTCACCACATTTCTGAAGTCAGATGTGAGTTGTTGAGAGAAAGATGAAGGAAAAGAGTGGACTATCTGCCTGCCTCATAAAACATCCACACCGTTAATAATGCCAACTTCCACATGGGGCCCAGCGGGTTGCCCTGTGTTACCATATACTGCTGCTGTACCCGGGTGGGCCAGGGGGTAGGGGGGCAGAGAGAGGGGCGGGGTAGTTCCTGTGGTCTGAAGAGGAGGAGGTATGTTTCCCTCTTAGAACGCAGTACTATCATTTCATTGTGTTAACCAATGTGAGACAAGTCTTTTACGAAGTTTTAGTAGTAAAGCCACTTACTTGTCTCCATGGAGATGTTATTGCTTTACCTGGGGTGTTCAGCTGTAAAACATTAAACTTGTCTCTCTCCATGGAGACAAGGAGATCACGTCACCAGGCTAAGTTACAGACAGATCTGTGGAGAGGCACCCCTCCATCACTCACTGTAAGAATGGATGTTTTTTTTAGCAATAAAACCACCTTTAATTGGGTAAATATAAGATAAATATGTCTAATGCTATACTGTG